ATGAAGCACAGAAATCCCAAGGCAGACTCTTGCCTCCTATGGACACACAGACTAAATCTGTGACTAGATCCTGAAACTGTTTCTTCATTTACAGTAAAGTGGGAACTAAAAGAGCAAGGGTAGGTTCGAGAGGCAAGAATTTTAGTGGCATTTTTTGGGGTGGTGGTGGTGAGGGGTAGGGGTTGTTTTTGTTTTTAGTGAAAGAACGTATGTTTCGGAAAAAAAAAGTGATTATTGAATTTTCTTTAGGGAGAGTCAGTGCTAAAGTTACTCACCTTCTTCCACCTCTAAATTTTGATGTCAATGTCATCAAATGAATTAGTGCCAGCATCCATGGTGAGGGGTTTTGTCCAACAGAACATCTTTGGAGTCTGGTTCCTGGCTCCAGGCTGACCCCGTCTACACCGTTGACCTTCAGCAGGCAAAGGTAGGATTCCTTTATTCTTCATGCGGTTGTCCTTGGAAAACTTTTTTTTTCCTCTCTCTCTTTTTCATCTCTCCTAAGTTCATAAACATGATGGATGAGAAAAGGCAAAGAGCTAGGATTGTTTACACAGAAGAGAGAGCAGAGCAAAAGAGAGGGGAGACAGCTTATAATCTTCAAGTCTCAGATTTACTATATGGTGAAAGTGACCAAATATTCTCTAATTTTTATCGAGGACGTAAAGAGAAAGTAAAACTTAAGTACCACACAAGGGATTTAGGTTGGGTGGAAGCAGCAATTGCAAAAGTATGATTCATAAAGGTTGTCCAGGAGGTATAGATTTGAAATGCAAGTCACATGCATTTTAAAAGTTTGTTTTCCCTACTCATTTGAATATATATGAAAAAGCACAGACATTGACATTTAAAATGTAAATCACAATGATAATGTTGTTGTTGTTCTTAGGTGCTCAGCTGATGTTGACTCCTAGCAACTCCATGTGACAGAGTAGAATTGCCCCATAGGGTTTTCTAGGCTATAATCTTTTATGAGAGCAGATCGCCAGTTCCTTCTCCCACCAAGCCACTGGGTGTGTTCGAACCACCAACCTTTCAGTTAGTAGTCAAGTGCTTAACCACTGTGTCGTCAGGGCTCCTTACAATATCATAATCTGCCTATATTTTTGCACAAGGTCCCTAGATTTTTGTCATTGTAGCAAGTGAAGAAAAAGTGGTCTGAGTGGTTGAATTGGAAATGACGAGCTATGTTATGCTGCAGTAACAAACAAGCCCAAGATCTTTGTGTCTATTGCCCACCCATGCTACATGTCTATCACAGGTAGACAGTCTCCTCACTCAGGGATTCAGGCTGACAGAGCGTCCATCACCTGTTGCTGGGGCAAGGGGAAGAGGGTGAATCAACATTGACTCTTAAAGGTTTCTGCCCATTTCACTTCTTCCCACATTCCAAGAACCAAGGAAGTAAAATTCTACCTTGTGTCTGGAAGAAGGAAAATTGGAATCTTTTTGGACAGCCTAGGGATTACTAGGTCTTCTGACATTTTACAGTAATCAATCTTCCAAGTGTGAGATTTACCCTAAAAAGTGTTTTGTGATTGTAATAAAGCTTGTCCTCCAGGATGGAGTTCTTTGGGAAGCCTGAGGCAAAGAGACTATAAACATCCTTATTGCTTTTCTATCTAGAATAATTTAGATTTGAGCCTTCCTCCAAGTAGATCAAGAGATTAACTCAGTCAACAAATGTTTATGGAGCTCCAGCTAAGGCAGCACAGAGTCCCAGGCACTGTCTCAAACCAGCACCCTAGTGTCATTGCCAATACTTCCTTCCTATCAATTCTCCCTCCAAAATACACCTTGAATTCACCTAATCCTCTCTATTCCCACTGCAATACCCACTGCTAACAATCTCCTAACTTCTCTCTGTGTGTCCATCTTGCCTACTTCCAGGTCATTCTCCACATTGAAGCCAGAGTAATTTTCTTTTAAAAAAAAACTCAATCATGTCACTCTTCTGTTAAAACCCCTTGAAGGCTGCCCATAGTACTTAGGGTAAAAACCTAAAACCTTACCATGGCTTTTAAGGACCTGTGTGATCTGGTCCCTGCTGCATCTGGTACGATTTACCTCTTGCTTTGTATGCCACCACCAAACATGGCCTTCTCTTGGTGCCTCATCCCCTTCCTGACTGCACAGCTGTGGCCTCTGCTTTCTCCTCCCTCTTCAGCTGTCAGTGCCTGCTCATTCCTCAAGTCTCTGCTTATGAGAAGATCTTCAAGATCCTCAGATGAAGCTTTCACAGCATACTTTGTTACCTTTGCTTTTCACTCATTACTTCTAAATAATACTTATTGCCCCTATGAGAATTTAAATGATTATTTGTTTCTTGACTTTTACCTCCCACCGCTCCCCAGGCGCCCTGAGGAACCCTGGTGGTATAGTGGTTAAGAGCTTGGCTGCTAACTAAAACGTCAGCAGTTCGAATCCACCAGCTGCTCATTGGAAACTCTATGAGGTAGTTCTACTCTGTCCTATATGGTTGCTATAAGTTGGAAACAACCCAATGGCAATTTGTTTGTTTTTTTAGATGACAAGTTCCTTGAGTCTGAAGAATGCTCTGTTACAGCCTCAGCATTTAATAAAGTGTCTGCACTTTGCTACTCAGTGGGGTCTACAGCCCACAGACGGGTGTTATGGCAGAATCTTGGCCCCCAGGCCCACTGAACCAGAATCTGCCTTTTAACAAGCTCTCCACGTGACCCTCATGTACCGGCAAGGTTCAGAAGCACTGCTCTAACACAAACTAATCATCGTAGTGGTGACTATAGTTACTCACACTTACTGAAAGTAGATAATAACACTCCAGGCATTGTTCTAAGCACGTTACCTGTATTAACTCAAGTAACACACAACTCTAATACATTTAACATCCCCAATTTACAGATGGGGAAACGAAGGTGTATTCAAGCTCACACCTCTAGTAATAGCCGTATTAGTAAAAGAGAAGAAAAAGATCTCCAGCACCTGGCATAGCACAAGGCGCATGATGGGTGCTTAACGAGTCCCTGAGTGGCACAAACAGATAAGCACTCGATTACTAGCCAAAAGGTTAGCAGTTCTAGCCTATCCAGAGGCACCTTGGAAGAGAGGCCTGGCAATCTGTTTCTGAAAGGTCACAGCCTTGAAAACCCTGTGGAGTTCTACTCTGCACACATGGGGTTGCCATAAGTCAGAATCAACTCGATCCAACGAACAACAACAACAGGTGTTTAACAACCTTTTAATAAGTGCTAATCTAGTAACTCTGAAAGCGCCCCCGCACGTGCACCTCCCCCCACCCCTGGCCTTAACTTTCTTAACCACTCAGTGCATGATAAATATTTGTCAAGTGTGCTCTGGAGGCCTTCTATAGCACCTGGCACAATGTAGGTCATCCATGTTTGATGAATGAATGGGTGAATGAATGGGTGAATGAAAGCTTGTGTGGTATAGCCAGTTGTGGGCAGGTCTCTCTGGAAGACAGGTAAAGGATTTTGGTGAAAAAATTAGCAGAGTGATTTAGAACTAAGAACATCAGCCCCAGAGTGACATGAAACACCCTGAGGTCGTTGCCTTTGTGTGCCCAGGGTTTCACCGAGCCTCACAAGCCTGAGAGGAAAACAGGGTGATACTTACAGTAATAACCAACTGTCACGGGTTCTTGTATCCATCTCTCCCATAGGCTTTAAGGCCACTATGAAGTGCCACATGATTTCTGAGACTCCCAGGGTGTGCCTCACATGTGTTCACCAACAGCCCTGCTCCGGCAGGCATCTCCACTCTCTGCTACTTCTCATCAGGCATTAGGTCCCTCTGGACAGCCGCTGGGACGGTGTACCGCGGGGCTCACCGGGGCCCACCATCTCCTGCTGCAGCTGATGTGCTGAAGGACAGGCTATGGTGAAGCTGCACCAGTTCTGCTGGCAAAAGGAGGCGAACACGCTGGCCCCTCGGTGCTCCCCTCCGCTAGGGGGCCCTAGCGGGACTGGACATGCACCAATGCCTCAGAGGGATTTCAGTCAAATCGCCCCTTTGTTCCCGTGGGGCTCTAGCATGCATCCAATGGGGCCTGGGCCACAGACAGAGTCAACCGGCTATACTCAGAAGCAGTGTTGGATTTAGAAACCCAAGCCTGGACCCCTCTTTCTTCATAGTAAATTCTGTGCCCAGGGGCTCCTCGGTCCATACCAAACAGACTTCCAAAAACCAAAAAGAAAGAAACTGCTGTGAATCGATTCCGACTCATAACGACCCTATAGAGCACCCACAAATTTGCCGAGAAGTCCCAGATGTTTCTCAGCATCAGCTTAAAATCAGAATGGGACTTCTCCCCACACCTGCACATCACACTCTGAATTTAAAAAAAAACAAAACAAGACTGGCTCTGTTTAAAGGTGCATGCATGTATTCAGAGTGTGAATGAATGAATGTGCCTATTATCACATGCTACTTTAAATCCTACTGTGGTTTCCTGGATAATAACTACCACCCACTCCTACTCACTTGGTGCCAGGCACCGTAATCATAAACCTTATGAAAACGTGTCATTTCTCCATTTATAGATGAGAAAACTGAGGGTCAAAGAGGTTACATAACTCTCCGAAGGTCACGTGTGTATCACATTTATCAAGAGCAAAGCCGGGATTCACACCCAAGCCGGTCTCTCCAAGTGCACCGGAGATTTTCAGCCTTTTACTAAAAGGCCAGCACTACTAAACTGCTGAGAGAGTTAGACTTCCTTGTTTACGTGAAAAGGAGGCGAAAACTTGGCACTGCTCTAGATATCACAGCAGGTCACTCAGCGCTTTCTTTGCCTCCTTCACTTCCCCGCGCCCCCACTGAGGAATTCCACTTCCTCGACTCTGCCTTGGACCTTGCCCCGGGGAAACAGCGCGCGCGGCTGGCGGGTCTGAGCGCGAGTCCAAGCCCCGCCCCCTCCGCTCTGGCCCTGACCCGCCCCTTGCCCCGCCCGCCCCCAGGCCCCGCCCACCCCCAGGCCCTGCCCGCCCCTATCTCCGTCCCGCCGTGGCCGCCGCCGCCATTTCCTGTCCAACCTCCGGCGCGTCAGGTCAGTGCAGCGGGGTGGCCCCGGTGTCTCCCCTGGGACCTACTCCTGAATTGTCCGGCAGACGTCCGAGCAGAGGACGCTGGTTTGGGCCCCAGCAGATGGAATAGTATCGACAGCGGGCTGGGACCCCCATTTCAGACACAGGGACCAGTGGATGCTAGGGAGCAGTTGTCAGGGCAACGGTGCCGTCGGCCCCTCCCCTCTGCGCCGGGCGGGGAGGGCGTGTCTGGGACGTGCGCGTCGCCGGACCCATGCGCGTGGCCCTGCGGACTGCTGGGCCCGCACGGTGTGAAAGACGGGGTTCCTGGCGTCTTCTGCATCACCCTGTCCTGTCGTTGGTGGCACTGCCCAGGCAGTGTGCGACCTTGATCCCTCTCCTGGAAGCGGAGGGGTTGGCCCCTGCCCTTGGAAGTTCTGAGCCTGCCTTCTGCTTCTTGAGCAAGTTGATTCACTTCACTGGGCCTCAGTTCCGTGGGGGTTTGTAATGCTTAGGTTGCAAAAAACCTTGGCGATCACTTAGTTAAGCCATGCATCTCCACCTCCTGCTTTAGAGATGAGTCTGGCTCTCATTTACCAGTCATTGAGTGCCTGATGCTTTGCATAAATCCCCAGGATAGTTCTCCAGGTTTGTATCACCATTTCCTTAGTACAGATGAGAACTGACTCTCAAGAGAGGTGGTAAAGTTAGCGAAGATCACACAGCTGGTTATTGTGCAAATGACACTGAGACTCAGAGATCAAATAACTCACAGCTTCTTTCTGGCAGAGATGAAAGACTGGCGGATTTCTAAATCCCGATTATAGGTGCGTTACTTTACGACAAAGGAGCCCTGGTGGCACAATGGTTAAGCGCTGGGCTGCTAACGAAAAGGTCGGAGGTTTGAACCCACGGGAGCTCCACTGGAGAAAAGACCCGGCAATCTGGTCCTGTAAAGATTTCAGCCTAGGAAACCCTATGGGGCAGTTCTACTTCATCATACAGGATCGCTATGAGTTGGAATTGACTTAACAGGCATACAAAAACACTACTACAGTGTGTCCCTAACTGTGGATCAGAATCACCTGGAGAGTGTTTAAAGCAGGGCTCCCAATCGGTTCATTCTGGTTCGACCCGCTGCTGAGAATTTGCCTTTTTACCCACCCACCCCTTCCCCCCGCCAGATATACTGAATCAGAATATACATTTTAACAAGATCCCGAGGTGGTTGCAGGGGGTCGAACCAGAATGACCTGGATCAAAGCCCGGATTTAAAAGCATCCCTTCCTGAGTACTATCCCAGGCTTACTAACGGAATCTCTGGAGCTAACGCTGAGGAATCAGTATATTTAATAAACTTCCAGGTGATTTTTTTTATGGTCTGTGATGAAACTTTGATAAGATAATACACCATTTTATCTTCTCACTCAAAAATAGGGCTTCAAACCAGTTCATTCCAGTTTGACCCATGCTGAGAATTTGCATTTCCACCCCAGATATACTGAATCAGAGTACATTTTAACAAGATTGCCAGGTGATTCTCTTGGGGATCTTGTTAAAATTATTATGTAGCAGAATGAACCAGTTCAAAGCACTGCTCATAAAACTACTGTGAGGTAATAAACCTAAACGCACCTGGAGAGGAAAAGAGACTGGAGCACGGTAGCATCAAGATCTAATCCCTTCAGCCAATTTGTAGCTTCTCTTCACTCCCCAGAAACAAGCCAGAGGCTTATATTTTAAACAAGTATGGATATCTAGATGCAAATTGTCTCGAGTCCCCGGTTACTTGTCACACCACCAGGTCCAAGCTTCTGACTGTCGGGCTGGCAGGGAGAAGCCACTCATGGTCAAAGTTAGGCGTCAGCATCCTCCTCCATCCCTGGTGGCCGGCCTGTCAGCCACTCTCCTCCTAGTTTATTTCACGTCAGGTCCCTGAATCACAGCGGTGGATGCTGGCTTTGGAGGAATGTTTTGCAGAACAGTTTCCCATGTGGAGGGAGGGCTGGCAGCTTTCATGAAGTATCACCATAAAAAGTGTCCCTTGGCCTTAAACTGTCACCTCAATGGCAGGTCTGAGCCGCCTGCCACAGAAGCCAATGCTGAGATGGGTGAGGTGAGTAGCAAGAGGATTTTTATTGTATATCAGTATACAGGAGACAGAAGGGAATGAGCTCCTCCAAAATCTGCCTCCCAGTCCGGAGGCTGATCAGAGGGTTATATAGAAAGAAATCAAAGTCCAAGGAATCTGCGAAATATTGGTTCCCCTCTGGGGTGGCCGGCCACATTAACCATCCTCCAGACATGTTGACCTTTGGATGCCATCCTGGTTTCAGCCACACAATGATTTTTCCTTGTTCAGGCATTTTACTTCCAGATTCTATCACTTGTTGTTCTACCTCCCAAAGAGGAACTTAGGTTAAATTTAAACTTAAAATCATAGGAAAACAAGAGGGAAGAGAGGAGGAGAGTAAATCAGAATCATGGGAGCATGCAAAAGTGAACTATGCCAGCTAGGCATTGACAATACCACAATACCTGAGACACTAGGTCTACACTGCTAACAATAAACAGTAAATGTGAAATTCCCACACAGCCCCTTTCAATCCCCCCTTTTACTGGAAGTTTCTCAATCTTGGGAAACAGGGCACTGCTCTCCTCTGGCTACTTCCTGCTGACCAGGGGCGTTGACTGGGGTTGAGGATTCTCAGTGCATGTTAGAAATAGTATAAGCGGGTGAGTCAGAATGGAAATCAACTGTATCTTGATGAATTAGGTAGTATGCATCAGATGAAAGAAAAGGCGTCTTGTCTTGCCAAAGCAAAAACTCCACCAGCTTTGAGGGTATTGGTGACTCCCTTAGAGAGTATCCTGATGAGGCAGAGGACACAAGTGTAGATTCTAATGATTATTGTTATTGTAAGGACAAGGGCTAACCAAGACCCCAAGGAAGGAAACATGTCAGAAAACCAACTCCAGGCGTCTTCCTGACACGATTTAGGGTTTGTCCACTCAGTTACTTTGCGAATGACCTCTAATCCAATTTCTGCTTCTCCCGTGGTGTTTATCCAAGCACAGCAGGTTTTATTTATGATGGCACAGACTGCCCCTGATTTGGTCAATAAAAAGTCTAACGCAATTCAGTTGTCCAGCATCACCTCCGTCAGAGAATTTAAGGAGTTCTGTTGGGCCTGGAGAGCTCGTTCGGTCGCTAGAGCCAATAGGTGAAGAGTGTCAGACAGGTTTCTTACAGCCATCTCCATGTGATATACTCCCAGTACTGGGATTATGGTTCTCAGGAACCACCATCCAAATCCAGTCTTTTTAAAAACTGGATTGTCATTAGTTCTTGCCACCTCTAAGGAGACAGGATCTACAGAGAAGATGCTCCGCTTTGTCCGAGAAATTTCCTCTGTATGTCAGGTGGAAGGCGGATGAATTTGGGTGGGGGAAGTTAGAAACCCCAAGGTGCACTGGCCTACAAAATGCACACCAGTTAGGCATTGGATGGCCCAGGTGTAGGGCGACGGTTTAGGAGATGGATTTTCACTAGTGAGATAGGCTTTTCCCCCCCGTAAGAAGGTGTATCCAGGTGGAGCACAAAGGGGCAAATTTTGATTAGTACTGTCTCAGATACTAATGTTAATATCAGATAGCAGAGGAGCAACCAAGGACTGGTTGCAAGAAGAGAGAAGCTGAAAGTCTTGGAAAACTTGTTGGGCTGCCTTTGCTTGTGGACTCTTGTGACCTAATTTCCCACCATCATTCTGTTGTGTGATTATATAACCCAGCAAGGGATGGAGAAATGATGCCGTACCAGTCGAGCCCACACTGGAACTTTAGGGGGCCCGTGGGACAAAACACAATCGGGTATCTCCTTGGAGTAATCACAAACTGGTGTGGCCAATGGACTCAATGGGGCCTCTGACCACGGGAGGTGATGACAAACACAGCAATTGCTGAAATTTCCCCCTGTGGCTACCACCTGGGACATGGTGACTAACCCATTGGAGGACCAGTCCCACCTGTTGGGAAGATGGGCGGGCCCTTGCTGTCCAACCACAAGGACTCAAATCCCCTCTCCCTGACTTATTTCCTCATCCTGAGGTGAACCCTTTTTATATTTTACACAGTAATATGTCCCGATATCTGATAGGCTCATATCAGAGACAGTGATTGAAAAGTCCCAATTTCATGCTTCGGAGGTGTTTGCCGTGGGGGTCACCTGGTCAGAACCTGTAGTTTTGAAGTCCCAAACCATCACCTCTCCCCCCTCCGGCTTTTCCATGATCCACTTGACCCATCCCACTGGAGTCAGGGTGGAAATCACACACAGAAGGGTCAAGGTGTCTCCAGCTTGCAGGGTCAGTGTCCTCTTTGCCTGCAGGATCCGGGCACTTCATCTGTCCAAGTTCCCTGAGGAAGTGGGAGAATCAAAAGGAACAAAATCAAAATCATTATTCAATAAGCTTTTTAAACTTATATTTTAAACCTTGCAGTGGGTCGCAGGAGTATGATGGTTGTTCAGCTTCTATCTTTTCCTCTTCTTCTGGCAGAGCCACCTTTACTCTAGAATGGTGCACCCAGGCAGCAATTCCTCATAGCTTCAAGGACGAGTGGGTGATTAGGAGGACATCAAATGGTCCCTTCCACTTCAGGGCCAGTTGATCTTCCGGGTGCTGGTTCTTCCAAGTTTTCAACAGGACCCAGTCTCTAGGTTGGAACCTGTGGAGGGAAATGTCAGAAGAGACAAATGAGAAGAAGCATACTGATTAACAGTGTTTATGACAGCTCCCAGAGAATGGGCCCAGTCTCTTTTCTCCACCCCAGTCATTACTGAGGTGGGGAAAGTTGACTTTTTAACGAATGGTCTCCCATATATTAATTCGTATGGGCTCAGTTTCAGCCCGCTTCGAGGGGCTACCTGGATTCTGAGCAGGGCAATGGGCAGAACTTGTATCCAGGTGGAATGTGTTTCTTGGCAGAGCTTGCCCAGGGTTTTCTTCAGAGTGTGGTTCATCTT